GAAAATGTACCAGTTGAATTTTTGCCTGTGTGGTGGCACCAGCTGTAGCCTGCCCTGTGGGAGGAGACTATTCTGGAGAGAAGGACCCAAACCAGTGGATTCCAGTGACAAGAAAGGAGACTCCAACAAAACACCAGGAAGAACTTTCTGACAGTAAGAGCTGATCAACAGTGGAACGGACTCCTTCAGAATGTCAGGTGTGCGTGCAGGAGCCAGGCCCTGTGACCAAAAGAACTTTGCAGGACTGGGGCCTTCCTAAGTTTGTTCTGAAGTGGCAAGGCATGGCCTCACAGGTGAGGCCGATTGGTAACTCACAGCACCTGGTAGCAAGAGCTGGTCAGCATTTCCCTTCGGCTCTTTGCCACAGCAACATGCTTCCTGCCTTGCTGTGTTTGGCTTCTTGCTTCCTAATCCTTGAACCTTGGCTTCTTGACTCCTTGCTTCTTGAGCCTCGGACCCCTGACTTCGTGACTCCTTGCTTCCTGACCCTCGGACCCTTAGCTTCTTGACTCCCGGCTCTCTGACCCTTGGACTCTTGGCTTCCTGACTTCTGGCTTCTGGACTCCCTTTCCTGCTCCCACCCTGCCATCGATCGCCCGTGAACCAGACTGTGACACAGAAGGTGGTGTACTCTCCTACACTGGAGGTTTTTGAGCAGAGGTTGGATGATCATCTGTTGTGTATGATTTATTTATGATTCCTGTATTGCAGGGTGTTGGTCTAGGGTGATCCTTGGGATTCCTTCCAACTCTACAATTCTATGATTCTAGGAAGGAGAGGCATAAAGTCAGATATCTGATTGCGTGAGGCTTTCTGCTTGTCTTTAAATGAACATAGGTAGAAGCCCCTTGCAGACCTTCCTGACTCAAACTGGAGATAATTGATTCTGAGGGATTTGTGTGCCCCTCCTCCAGTCCACAGTTTGCAGGTTCAGGCAAATGTGTGTACAGCTCTGCATCCTTTCTCTTGTTGGGAGGGAGGCTTTGCTTTTTAGTCCCTTACTTACTGTTGCTTGCTCCATCCCTACATTTTTTTCAAATGCTCAAGCCAAATGGTATGTTGGGGCAGGCAAGTTGAGTAGAAGTCAAGCTAAGAGCTGATAGACCAGTGATAGACTGACTGGGAGCCAGAAGTCTGAAGGTACAGGAAGAGATCAGTAGGCTCACCAGCGGCTTTTGACCAAGTCTGTGATCCTCTGTAGACCAGACTGACCCATTGGTTGCTGCGTCAAGCTGCTATCTATTGTCTCCTCCAACCAGCAGCCGTGGTGGCTCAGGGGGAGTCAATGGCTGGTCTGCAAGGTTCCTGCATTGAACCTGGTGGCATCTGACAAATGTCATTCCCTGTCCGACTTGGCTTTACAGGAATGACTTTGCAGGAATGTTGCTGTCACAGGAGTGCCAAATGTGGTTGAGAGTATTATCAGACTAGGCTCCTTCCCATGGAGATGATTCATGGGAGACACACAGGTTGTCTCCTCACATTCCTATTAGCACAAATGCAAATGCTAACAGAAGAGGAAAGAAAAGCAATCAGCCCTTAATAGAAAGCTGCATTTACTGACAATCACCGAGTTGATGACGTTCTTATTCTGTGGAGAAACTCATTCTGCATAATCCGTAGCATTAGGTTTGGCGCCTTCCGTGAGCCTTGCTTTCAGTTCCGTTTAATTTAGCAATTTCAAAAAATTAAAACCTTTCAAATAAAATAGCCATTAAGACAAATTATGTCTTTTCTCTTGTCCGGGGGAAAAAAATGCACTCACAATCTAGCATTTGTTCACTTTCATATTGAAACCGACGGAGACACATGAATAATGACAGTATAATTTTTCATTCATAATAATTATAGGTTGCCCTTTTGTCGCTTTCTATCTGTGGTGTTTGAAAATCTTCATAAACATAAATTGAAGGAGATGGAAAACATAAGGCTATGGGAGCAGTAGTAATTCATTTTGGGAAATGAAAACTGCTGGGATTCAAGCGCGACTCAAACCAGTCTTTCTACCCAAAAGGCTTGTTTCATGAGGCTTCTTCACACATGACACTGAGTGTGTGTTCCTTTGTGAGGGCATGGTCCTGAAATGCAGCTTATACATACTTTGAATAAATGGAGAAAAATAATTAATAAGAAAAGTTACTTGGAAAAGTTATAATCTACTCTTCCATTACAGTCACAGACTATGGATCTCAAGTGGGATTGTCTATATTGCTGTGTAGCTTTATTAACCTACATGAGAGCCTCTCACTGAAGGAGCGGTGGCTAGGTAGACTTCAGGAACCGTAAAGAGATACTCATCCAACCATAGATCACCTTGATTTTTCATAGTTTCATCCTGTTAGTTCCTTTCTATGTTCCTAATGCACCTCTCACAGTGAATATATGGTTCTGAGCTAGACACACAGCCTCATTTTTCTCAATTATCTTTATTGCCATATAAAACCAGGATGGCCATCTTCAGCTTTCTCACAAGTGTGCTTAGGAGATTCAATTAGAATGCTGAAAAGAAATAGGTGTTTAGAGGGGCAAATAAAGGAACTGTTGTTTTAGGTATCTAAAATGCATTATTGGCGCTCTAGCACCAAGTACAAAATGAGTTTCTTTAAAATCAGAGGGCAAAGAAATGTGGGGAACAGGAAGAAATTGTAAATGCATAACAATAAAAACAACAACATATCTGCTGAAAGATGAGAATTCTCACCAAATGATTAGGAACTGTTATGGTGCAAGGAGTTAAATTAACATCTGGACACCAACATTTTTTTATTTTTTTTAATGTAATTTTTATCCTATCTTCTTTAAAATTACTAGCAAGGGAGATCTAAAATTACATGATCTCACAGAGCAAGGTAGCATGAAAGCAACTGTGCTCCCTTCTAATTAACCAATCTCTCTCCAAGGAGTCATTGTTAAATTGTACTCCTTAGCCTGTCAGGATAATGTGTGTGTTCTAATTTAGCATTTTAGAAACCAAAGCAGAGAGTTTCCTACACAATTTTATCATTTATTTTAAGGAACAGAAAAGGAAAGGGGTGGGGGGGAAATACTCGGAATCTGATTTTGAAATTAATAGGAGGTTTGGGCAGTGAATCTTCTAGTATTGTCTAGTATTATCATCTGTTACAGTTAGATGCCGAAGATCTCTCAAGTATAGTTCCTATATTCACATGCAACACCTCATTAGGAACATGTGTGCATTTGAAGGGCAAGGTGCTCTTTGTGACTGTCTCTCATGTCAGAGCATCCCCACTCTCACAGGTTTACCTGGCAGTAGCAACGGATGCCCACGAGCTGCCATTTTATATTCCACACAATGGCTCTAAGATCATAACATAATACATTCCCACAATGCTTTGGGGCATTGTGGGAAACTTTAAGGGCAATTCGTAACACCCACCAACACTCACTGTGGAAGTCGAAGGTCAATGATGGTGGGTTCTGCTAGGTACTAGAGCCCCAGCAGGTTTCCTGACACACAAGACCATGCAATTAATTAATTATTGGTATGCACAATTAGTATTTGATAGTCTTGATTATCCGCGATGGAGCTATCACTATATTTTTGCCTGACTCAACAATGGGTAGCTGGGATTGAACAACACAGATTGTATTTCCTTGATGGCTAGAAATGTCTCTTCTTACCTTAAGAATGTGATAGGTATCCAAGTTTGAAGAAAGGACAAAAAGACAACTAGAACCTAGTATTTTTTCCATGGGCACACAACAACTTGGAGTTTTTAATGGAAGGTAGCTAAAACATCCATGGGTATTACACCAAAAAACTCTTATCCAAAGGAAACTAAACTTTGTACTGGTATCCCTGGACTTTTCATCATTTGGGAAAGTGGAGACAGCATAACAATTTCAATGCCTCAGAGTTTTATTGTTTTGTTTTTTACAAAAGATTAATGGACACTTGGATTTGAAATATTTTTTCTTGCCGAACATTAACACTGGCACTTAAAGCAAATTGTGTGTTTGTGTGAAGGGGAATGAATGCAAGTTGAGTGATTAAAGTGCATAATAATTGTGCACATTCACTAGGCCTTATGGGGAATGTGAACATAATCCTTCCATGAAGGGGATTGTGCACATTTCCCAGTCAATATACATAATCCCCAGTAAGCCTTGGGGATGTGCATTCCACTGCTGACTTTTGTCTATTCTCCAGCCATTAAGTACAGTCTCCTACAGGCCTTGGGGAATATGCATATCTCAATTGCATTTTGCACATTATCTGGTCAATATGCATAGCCTACAAGAAACATGCCATTTTATTCTGTGAACTGCCCTGAGATCTTGTGGTGAATGGTAGTATATAAAATTAATTTATTTAAATATATTTAGTTATTTAATTATCTATTTCTTGTTCAGAAGTGTGCAATCCACTCTCCATGCACTGTTTCTGGCCCACTGCCCTCACACTGATCAGCCAAGCAAGAGGAAGATGAGGGGCTCTAGATAAAGATGGTGAGGATGATGATAATGATGATGATGATGATTTGAATTTATCCTGTTCTTCATCCAGAGGAGCCCCTTTTTTCTGCAGTCAGCACTCAGCTGTTTCCTAGTCAGCTGAGCAGCACAAGGGGAATTGCAAGATGGGGAAAATGTTGCAGCTTTGCACCCTTTCCTTCAGTTTTGATGGAAAAAGCTTCATAGTAGTGTTGGGGCAGTCCTCATGGGAATCACAGGAAGGGGAAGATTTAACCAGCTGAGGAAGAGTTGCCCAGCAGGGAAAAGAAGGCTGGGAGGGAAGAAGAAGAGGAGGAGTTTGGATTTGATATCCAGCTTTATCACTACCCTAAGGAATCTCAAAGTGGCTAACAATCTCCTTTCCCTTCCTCGCCCACAACAAACACTCCGAGAGGTGAGTGAGGCTGAGAGACTTCAGAGAAGTGTGACTGGCCCAAGGTCACCCAGCAGCTGCATGCGGAGGAGCGGGGAAGCGAACCCGGTTCACCAGATTATGAGTCTACTGCTCTTAACCACTACACCACACTGGCTCTCAAAAAAACCCAACTCCAAAATTCCATTTAATATATAGTCCTCAAATAGACGACATATCAGATATTAAACTGATAAGAACAGATACTACACTTGATCTTAGCCAAAAGGCCGAGAAAGAGTATCAAGCCCCCCCCCCCAGTATTTCAAAAGGTCCATGGAAAATTGCACAGTATGACATAGCATCTAATTACTGCCAATCTATTATTAATGTTTGTGCTTACTGCAGCTTTATTAAGGCCCCCTTTATGAGAAAAAATAATTTAAAAATGCAAAAGCACATGCGGCGGAATTCTAAGATCTTTGAATCCTTCTAATATAATTTCCAATGTGTCAGGAACCGTGCTGAGGAGGGCTGAACTGTGGAGGAATGGTGGGAGCCTTCCTCTCCCCCTGCTTCTGATCAGGTTCCTGAATCTTCCCAGGAGCAGGAGGACAGTATAGATTTGGAACAGTGGTTTGTAGAGGGACATAGTTCAAAAGGCAGAAGCTGGGAAATACTGGATGGGGAACAGCTAGGAGAAGCTGCACTGGGAGACAGAGAGTTAACAGATTCACTGTCTCTGGAAAGCATCCATCCGCTCAGCCCAAGGTCAAGAAGAGCTGATAAGGCATCAGCACAGAAAGCATGGTGGTTACAAGAACAGGTTACAAGACACGGTAGTGACATGGGTGACTAGGGAAGAAGTAGGTGGAACCCTTAATTGGGAGCACCTCCATTTCTAGGAAGGAATTCTTTGTTCTCTTGCTGTGATCATTAAAGTTTCTAACTGTTAAGAAGACTCCTTTTCCTTTGCTCTGCTTATCTACTTGCCAAAGAGGGGAGGAAGCAGATTCCCTGAAGCCTGACACAATGTGAATCTAGTTTTTATTGTGATATTCCAGGTTGGAATTCACTGCAAAGCTTGATTTGTCATTTTAGGAAATCACAAAGATTGAATGTTGATAGAATTGTTACATGCAGAAGGAGGTGGCCTAGGTGGTGAATTGTGCCTCTTATTGGGCACCAGTGCTGAGAACAACCAGCATTGCCTACCTATTAGCCACTGAGCCAGTGTTAAAGCCTTAAACAACTCTGGACTAGGTTACCTGAAAGACTGACTTCCCATTCAATGCCTAGTAAAGGCATTAGGAGCAATCTACAAAGGGAGCCTGGTTAGCCTTGTCATGGCCAGTTTATTTTGGCATAAAGTGGTGTAGGAATGAATGAATGAATGAATGAATAGCAACAGCTTCCCTATTAATAGTCTTGAGCTGCTTTACAGTGCTTTATTTAAGATACATTAATTCTCCTACCTGCTTCATTCCTCACTGCAACTCTTTAAAACACACACAAGTGTGCCCAAAAACCTCCTGAATAAAATGTTCTAATTCCCTTCTGAGAAAACAGACCTGAGATGCTCTCATCAGAATAAAGTTTATTGTGTTAAATTGCAGACTGCATCATTATCATCTGCAAAGACGGTGTTCTCCAGAGCAACAATCGCAGCATCTTAGGAATATGACAGAGCAGACAGAATCCCATCTGTTCTTCCTTTCAGATTTCTATTATATTCCCAAGAAATTGCTTCAGTAAAGGTGAGAACAGAGGCAATTGTCTGAGTTTGGTGAAAGTGGTGTAGACATTTGATGCATTCTGAACTGCTTATTTTTAGGGCACATTCAAATGAAACGTGCCCGTGCAGACTTATATTCTAAACCAGGAGTGAGGGACCAAAAGTGAAGAACACTGCAAAGTGTTATTGAACTGTGAGAATCAGTGTTTCTTGCTTGCCTGGATGGAGACTGGAGGGATGGGTGGGTGGGTGTAGAGAAGTCTCTGGCTTTTGGTGTGGCTGGAATGTAGCCTATTGCACAGAAGTAAAGCCACATTCACACCACACCATACCTCGCAACTGTCCCGGAAAACCCGAGGCATCCTATTTTTTCTCGTGAGAGAACACCGGCCAGTTTGGGCACCAAGATATCGTACAATTTTGCATCAGTATTCCCACCAAAGAACACTTGGGAGGGGGCTGCAATCTTGCATGGCATCCCAAAACACATTATTTTGGAGGGCATGCCCCCCCCAAAGTGCTTTTTTTCTTGAGAAATCACGCAAGATCATGGCACCCAAAATGGTCGCCATTCTCTTGCGAGAAAAAATGGGAGGATCGTATCTGGAAAGATCCCATGGTGCCCTTTTAAACAGTCATGAGTTCTCCCAAAGTATTCTGGGAGTTATAGTTTTTTAAGGGTTCTGAAAGCTGTTAGGAGCTCCCTCAGAGAGCTATAATTCAAGAATTCCTGGTAAAGGCAAATGGGTGGTTAAACAACTCTGGAAACTGTAGCCCTGGGAGTGATTTGATCCACAAATTCTCGAAGCATCATACAATGGTGTAGAAGCTAATCATGAAAGTCCCCGTAGCTATGCCTGCTTTTAATGTGTAGTGCAGTAGTGTCCAAACTTTTTTCAAAGAGGGCCAGATTTAATGAAGTGAAGGGCCGTGAGAGCCGACCAAAGGGCCAACCAAAGTTGTTGACCTTATTTAGTATTGAAGTTCTTGAGCTTTTTTTAGGATTGAAATTCTTGAGGTTTTTTTAGGATTGAAGTTCTTGATGGATTTTTTAGGATTTTACCCCAGGAAATAAACAGCCACAGGGGCCGGATTAGACCCCTGAAACAGACTTTGGACATGCCTGGTATAGTGCATATGGGCCCTAAAATGATTGCTTCATCTGCTTACAGTTTTGCCTCCAGATTTTATTTTGGTTTTTAAATTGGCTTCATCTTGGGAATGAGGTCGAAATGTTACTAAAAACTCTGCAGGAATGTTCTCCTACAGAGATTTCTCTTCGATATTAAGAAAGATGTTAAGAAGTTGGGAATGATTTAGATGACAGCTATAGTTATTATAAGGTGTCTAGAAAGTAAATCCTAGTGGGGAAAGCATTAGCAGATGGGTATTTTTAAACAGGTGGTGTGTGGTGTAGTTGTTTAGACTAGGATCTGGGAGATTCCCCACTTGGCCATGGAGCTCACTGGGTGATCTTGGGCCAGTCCCTACCTCTCAGCTGAACCTACCTCACAGGGTTGTTGTGGGGATTAAATGAGCTGTGAGAGAACTATGCTACCTTGAGCTCTATGAAGAAAAAGGTGGGATATAAATGCAACAAATAATAAATAAATATTTAAACAAATATTATTTATTTAATAAATAAATATTTAATATTTAAATATTTAAAGGTCCGCAGGAAAGATGGGTGCGCAGTCCACTGATAATAGAAGACACAATGGTGTTTAAACCACAAAATGGGAGATTAGAATAAAAAGCTCTGAAATAGAACAAGCAGTTTAGGAATATGCAGAATCTTTGCTAGATATAATGCATACCTTTTTTGGCCAAATTATGTCGCTAAAATTAGGGTGTGCATTAGATTTGATGGCACATTAGATTCGACAGCAAACTTGAAAAATACATTCACCAGCAAATACTTTTTTGGTGTCAAGGTTTTGAAAATTGAGGTGCGCATTAGATTCGATGGTGCATTAGATTAGCATACATACAGTATTTTTGAAGGGTAGATTGCAGGGATAGTGAACATGTGGCCATCCAGATATTGTTGGATTCTTAGCTCCCCTCAGCCCCAGCCAGCATGATCAGTGATGGAATATGTAGTCCAACAACTTATTGATGGCCAAGGGTTCTTCATCCCTGATGAACTGGCTTTTAAAGATAGATGCCTACTCTGTACCAGGGCAAGGTTTATACATGATGACCTCTTGTTCCTGAGGAAATGGTGTTAATGGCTCAAGCAGTGTATACTGGCCTCACTTGCACCCAGCACTAAAAGTTGATAAAAACCAACAACAAACCATGGCTTATGAGTTTGTTTTTGGTTACTCAACCTTGGTTAATAAACTGGGCTGGGTTCAAATGATCAAATTAAACCTTGGTTATAAACCATGGCTTAGAATTTTGTGGAAACCAGGACATGGTCAGCATGGAGAACTGCCTGGTTTGCATGACATGGTTTAGCCAAACTATGACTTGTGGGACTGTGCGAATGTGCAGAACTTGCAACCACTTGGCACCTCCCTGGTCCTGTTCACTCCTTTGCTACCCTGAGCTAAGCCAAGGTGTGGCTTAGCATGTCATTTGAACCTGAACTTGTAGTTAAGCATCCTTCTCACTAACCACAAGCTGCAGCCTTGTAGCTCATTCATAGTTTGACTTACTGTGTTGTGTGAACACAGGCCAGTGTGGAACTAGAATCCGGCAAGAGATCGAGAATTCCTTTTCTTTCTATATGGATTTATAGATGACTGACTTCACCTCCTTTGTTCAATAATTTATTCTTTTGCATTACACTGTGAATATAGAAACATGATTTAATCTTCATGACTGATATTTGCATATTCATTAAACAATTCATTAAATACATCAGGAAATAATTTAATGATCTCTCCCTGACAATTCAAGTTGAAACTATCACGTTGCAATCTAAATTGACAGGGCAGTGAACAGTGGAAGACTTCAAAAAGCATAATCCCTCATATCTAGTATATAAGACATATAACTGAGCAACTGCAAAGATAGGAAACCAAGCTCTTGATTCATGTTTTAATACTTCAAATTTTATTGCAGGCCTTTCAAAATGGTTTAAATGTTTGCATCTTAACAAGCGCAAAACTGACCCCATGTAGAGCAGGCAGTAAGAAATGTACAAGTCCTGACATTTGCTAGTAACTGGTCTAATATTAGGATTACGTTTTTATTTATATTCAAAAGCTGTTGGATAAGGAAGGATGAAGCCATTGCATTTGGAAGACTTGTCTTCTTAGCACCGGATTATAATAAGCAATCTTGGAATTGGTTGATTCTTTTAGTCAGCTATGACAGCTAAAGCACTAATCTGTCGACATAAAAAATTTGTAATTTCCATCTAATGTGGAGCAAAAGCATAGTAGATTTACCAAATTTAGAGGCAGGTGGGGTTTTTTTTAGTTGTTGTTAAAAGGTTATAATAGAGAATTGCTATGTAGCCAAACAAATGGTGTTTATACCCAAATTCCCTCTTTTACAGAGAAATTCTACAAATGTCTACCAATAAGTAAGTCCTATTGAGCTCAATGAAATTTT